GATCACTATCAGAATGTTAACTAGAAGTGTGATGAAGATGCAAAGGCATACAAATCACTTGTATCTCAGCAACGGGTATTTGCCTTCCTCTTGGGGCTGAATCCTTCATATGAGTTCATCAGGGTGCTGATCTTGGGAAGTAAAAACTTGCCATCAGTTCAGGAGGATTATGCCTTGGTTCAGTCAAAAGAGAGTATAAGAAATATGATGAAATGTACTGAGGGGGAGCCAGTTGCCCTAGCTATCCGGAGAAGTTCAGATACTAATGTCAAAGGTGGTTTTAAGAAGGGTGACTCTCAGAAGAGAACAGATGATAAGAGTAAACTTTGGTGCACTCACTGCTAGAAGACAAGRYACACYAGAGATACATGTTGGGATCTCCATGGAAAACCTAAATGGGCACAGGATTTGGGTAAGAAGTCAACACTAATCAGAGCAAGAAACCAAATCAGTAGAATCAGAAAAAAGTATAACTCAGCTAATATGGCTTCTCAAGAGATTGGTCCCATGGTAACTCAGGAAAGGCATCCCAGTTTTGACCCTAAAGAAGAGATCATCAACTCCTTCCGTGACCATTTGGAGTTATATGGTAGGACTCTTCGCTAGATGGATTCTGGTTCTACTTCTTCTACCTCCTTTGCGTCTGCATGAGGTAACACTGCCACTGCCTTCCATGTGTCATCTCATACCTCTGATTCCTCTTGGGTAATTGACTCCGGAGACTCAAACCACAAGATCGATAAGTCAAATTTATTTCAGGCATACAATCTTCTCTCTATGAGAGATAAGGTGACTAGCTGATGGTTCTTTCTCCACCATAGCCGGCCAAGGAACCATATCTCTCCCACTCGGCCTTACCCTTTCTAATGTACTACATGTTCCTAAATTACCAATAAATTTGCTTTTCATTAGTACTATTACTCACTCCTTGAACTGTTCAGTTACTTTCTATCCATCTTCATGTGTGTTTCAAGATTTGGCCTCGGGGAAGACCATTGGTAGATGAAGCATGGTGGATGGTCTCTACATGTTGGTGAATAAAGTTGGTCTTGTGGCTATAGAGTCCTTGAGTTCATCATGTGAGAGTCAAGCCTATTTATGGCACAGTCATCTTGGTCATCTTTCTTTTTCTTTTGAGTCGTTAAAAGTTATGTTTCCAAAGTTGTTTGAGTCTTTGTCAGTGAGTCAGTTGCAGTGTTAGGCATGTCAATTGAGTAAACATTGTAGAAACTCTTTTCCTTTGAGAAATAAAAGATCTGAATTTACGTTTCATATTGTTTATTCTAATGTTGTTGGACATAAGTACTTCATTACCTTGATCGATGATTACTCTAGATACACCTGGTTTACCCTATGCGATCTAGAGATGAAGTGCCTAAAATTGTGAAAGACTTTTAATGCATGGTGTTCACTCAATTCCAAACTGAAATCCATATTTTCCAGTCGAACAATGCAAAGGAATACTTCCATAGTGATCTCGCGAAATTCTTTGCTTTGAGTGGATCACTTTAACGAAACTCTTGTCCTAGGACACCCCAACAAAACGGTGTTGCTGAAAGAAAAAAAAATATATTCTTGAAGTAGCTCGTGGCTTGTTAATCCATATGAATGTTCCGAAATGTTTTTGGATGGATGTTGTTCTGTGTGCATCATCAACCGTATGCCATCTCGGTTACTAGAGTATAAGGCCTCACATTTACTTTTGTTTTCTACAGCTCCGTTGTTCCCCATTCCACATTTACTTGTCACCTACTCGGGGTCAACTTGATCCTCGTGCTATTCCTTGTGTCTTCCTTGGTTACCCTTTATCTCAAAAGGGGTATCGTTGCTATGATCCCGCCTCTCGTAAGTACTATGTCTCAATCGACGTGTCCTTCTTTGAAAATCAACATTTCTTCTCGGTTTCTCCTAAGGGAGAGAGTAAGGTTGAGGAGAAACAGGCTTAGACTCAATTACCACCTCTACCTGACCCTCCTTCATTCTGTGTCTTTCTTCGCCACCACAAAAGCCAACAGAGTTCAAGATCCATAGAACCTGACACTATGCAACCAACATCATCGGCTTCACCGGAGGTTGTTCCTTCCTATCAGCCAGGTACACTTGCTCCTATTGATATGCCTACTCCTCTCAATGTTGATTCCCCTGTCATTAATGATCTTGATGTTCCTATAGCTAAGAGAAAGGGTGTTAGATCTTGTACCACTAATCATCCTATCTGTCACTTTGTGTCCTATGGTCATATTTCATATTCATATCGTGCATTCCTCTCCTCTATTGACAGTATCCCCGTTCCTAAGAATGTGGCAGAAGGTTTATCCAAACCTGAATGGACAGATGCAATGAAGGAAGAGATTGATGCATTACACAAAAATGACACTTGGGAGTTGGTGGATCTTCCTGAAGGGAAGGAACCAGTGGGGTGCAAGTGGGTGTTTACAGTAAAACATAAAGCTGATGAAACTATTGAAAGGTACAAGGCCAGACTGGTGGCAAAAGGTTTTACACAAGTATATGGAGTGGACTATGCAGAGACTTTTGCCCTAATAGTCAAGATGAACTCTATCAGAATTCTCCTTTTACTGGTGGCAAGTCTTGATTGGGAACTTCACCAATTGGACATCAAAAATGCTTTCTTGAATGGTGACTTAGAAGAGGAAGTGTACATGACCCAACCTCCAGGTTTTTATGCCAAAGGCAATGAACAGAAAGTGTGCAAGTTAAAAATATCTTTATATGGGCTAAAAAAATCTTCTCGAGCCTGGTTTGGTAAGTTTCACTTAGCAGTTCAACAGATGGGGTTCAAACAATGTCTGTCAGATCACACACTATTTGTGAAGAAAGGTGAAGTGAAAATTACAACTCTAATTGTGTATGTGGATGACGTTGTGATCATAGGAGATTGGGAGGCTGAAATACAAAGACTAAAAAAGTTCTTAGCCACTCAATTTGAGGTGAAAGATCTAGGCCCCTTACATTATTTCCTTGGAATTGAAGTTGCCCGCTCTCACAAGGGCATCTTTATTTCCCAACAGAAATGTATACTAGATCTACTAAAAGATACAAGCAAACTAGGGGCGAGACCAATTGACTCACCAATTAAACCTAACCATCAACTGGGAGAACCAGGGAGAGTTCTTGAAAGATGTGAAGAAGCTTCAGAGACTTGTAGGGAGACTCTTGTATTTGTCTATGACCAGGCCTGATATTGCTTATGCAGTGGGTGTCCTTAGTCAGTTCATGCACAATCCTAGAACAACTCACCTTGAGGCTGTAGAGAGGATCCTCAGATACCTCAAAAAGTTTCCTGGAGTTGGGGCTTGCTGTTCTAGAAACATGGACATTTAAAGGTGGGAGTATATATTGATGTTGATTGGGCAGGGGCAATTGATGATTGAAAGTCTACTAGTGGATATTGTTTCTTTGTGGGGGGGAACCTAGTCACATGGAGAAGTAAGAAGTAAAGTGTGGTGGCTAGATTTAATGCTGAAGCAGAATACAGAGCTATGTCTCATGGAGTTGCTGAAATCATGTGGATAAGAAATTTGTTAGGAGAACTGGGTTTTACAGTTAGCAATGCTATGTCACTCTATTGCAACAATAAGGCTGCTATCAACATTGCAACTAATCCAATCATCCATGATAGGACAAAACACATTGAAGTGGGCAAACATTTTATTAGAGAGAAACTTGTAAATGGAGAAGTGTGCACCCCATATGTCAGCTCAGAAGAACAACTTGCAGTCATCTTCACCAAAGGTCTTCATCATGTGCGGCACAATGATTTGTGTGCACAAGTTGGGCATGATTGGCATCTATGCTCCAACTTGAGGGGAAGTGTTGAAATAAATTGTTTTTTTATTTTGTTAGGGTCTGTTTGGCTGATTAAAGCTTTTTTAATTTTAACATGTTATTGTAACTTTACTTAGTAGGGGCACAAGGGTCATTTCCCTTCTTATTTTTTCCGCCCTATATATTATAATGAAGCTGGTGCCACCAGCACTATTCCATTGCCCCTAATCCTTCTCCTTTCTTTCTTCTTCTCTTCTCTTCTCTTCGCTTCGCTTCGCTTCGCTTCGCTTCTCTTCTCTTCTCTACTCTTCTGCTGTAATCTTCAATTGAATTTACTGTCAAGACGTTTTATTCTCGTGCGGAAAGATATGGAAAGACATGCATCTACCAAACGTGCTTCGAGCTGCTCAGATCTTCATGCAAAATCTCAATGCGTCTTTTGCATGTCATAGCTAACAGAAGATCTTCCCAAAAAAGAAGTGCCAAACGGGCCCTAGTCTCTGAGATGCTCCCACAGTCCCACATTCAAAGTTTAATTGTGGGAAATCATTCTCTTACGCTGTGTTTGGTTTGAAAGAAAAAAATAGGAAAAGGTGGGGTGGGGAAACTGTACAATCACAGTTAGATTCTAGACTATTTGAACGTCATTATTTTAGACGTTTTGGGAATGAGACTGGACCTTCTATTTGGGGCCAGAGATCAACTCTTGGGCCTTCTCTTAACCATATCCTTTGATTTGAAGCTCTAACCCAACCTAAATCCGAATCAATCAGTAACTTGTTAAGAATTTAGGGTTCGTTTGGTTTACGCAAATAGGGGTTCAAAATCGGAATTGGAATGGTCTATTTCAATTCTAAGTATTTGGTTGAGCATTATGAGAAACCTATTCCCATTCCTGGTGGAATGGCATTTCTCATTTGAGGGAATGACCATTACCTCCCCCTCCCTTGCCAGCGGATTCTATTCTGATTCCGATTCCAGTCTGAGCCAAACTGAAACAGGTGAAGAGAATAGACCAATCCGATTCCGACTGTGACCAAAGGGACCCTTGGAAGCTTCAGTTTGTGCACCTTGCGTCCTGTGGACTCTGGGATTGAACCATGGTGCTATTGACTGAGTACTAGTTAGGAATTGAGCCTTGAATTGGGATGACTGAATTCAGACCTAACTTGCTGGGATCACCCACTATACCTCATTCCCACGAAAAGAAATCAAAAACTGTACCCATTAAGTGGTCCTTGCCATATAATCATCGGTTTTTTTTTTTTTCGTAATATTACAAGGAATTATATGGTCCATGCAAATACTGTAGTGTGGATTGTGAAGATGTGGGTAATTTATCAGGCAAAACAGATGAAAATTTTCTGTAAATGTTATCTATATGAATCATAGCAGGGTTCAGGTTGTTTTGTTTACAAAATTTCCAATGCCTTGATCCCATTATTAAGCAGAAGTCCTTGAAAAGCACAACCACTTGGCTGCATCTTTGACATGGCAGTGGACATTACAGCTTTTTCATAACTGAAGGAACCTTCACCTAATTCAGTAGGCAGTGTGCTGCAAAATTGGGTATCTGTGATGGAAGGAAGACATCTCAGACTTGCTCAAGCACAAGATTGCATTCAGAAGCCTTCTCGAGTCTCTTCCAAAGGGATGGATTTCAGACCTTCAGGTCCTTAGACTTGCCCTTCAACAGCTGAAATTACCAAAAAAAAAACGTCAGCACTTAAATTTTCTTCGAAGACAATAATTTGTTCAAGACAAACAAAGGAAGATAGGAATGCCATAATCATATTAAACCTTTGTTCAAAAGAAAAAAGAAATAGAAGATATTGTATAGGAGATGGATAATTTCTCAACCTGTTCAATAGATGTTTCCTATGGATGATTATAGGACAGACATTGATATGGCAGCAGAGCGAAGCTTTAAACCATCTTCTTCCCATTTAGACTGTGGAGCAGTAGCTCCAGCAATAAATGTCTGCAGAATATGGGAAAACTTAAATAAGAAAACAATATAAATTATTGAAAATATTAAAAAAATGAGATGAAGGTTCCAATGGAAAATGAAGGCCTTTCAAATTCCAAGTTCAAAACCGAGCAACCATGTGATCAAACACTGAAGAACATGCATGTATAAGTACCTTCCCACTGTTAACAGCAGCCACTAATGCGACATGCTGTTCATCTATGCCAAACTCATAAAAATAGTAGGTCCTGAAACAAATCAATTATCAGAACAGTGTAAATTAGATGGACGTCTTCTTAAGATACAGATAATATTCTTGACCAAATGATTTAAAAGTATTTTACTGAGAAGTGAGAACAACAAACGAACTCAAATATATTACTGGTTAATTGACTTGATATCATGCCCCCTAGTGACTCAGAGGTTTCACACCCATTTAGCAATGGTCATGGGGAAGGTAAGTGGAATTGTAGACAAGTATCATAAATTTTCATCCTAAGGGCACAGTGCATATTTATAGCCTAATACATAAGTATGATTTTACAATATTGGCACAGTGAGCATACCTGAGACCTTCATCTTCCTTGATTTTGATCGTGCGTGCAGAGTATAAGGTTGCCCCACCTATACAATAAAAAACCAGATAGAGCAGAATTTGATAAGTGAAGACAGGTCCTTGTTCTCAGATAAAGTAGATATATCCTTTTCTTTTTTTTTTTTGACAAAGTTGGTATACGTATATCCTAATACATCAAGTGAAATAAGAAGTAAACTATCAAGAGAAAAAAAATCAATTTCCCAACTTAAAAGTAGAATCCACTTCAAATTTACCTGGAACAAAGATATTTGCTGCCTCTTTCAAGGATCCTAAATCTGTAATATCTTTGGCCTGTTCAATTCAGTAAATGGTATGAGATTACTCAGGGAACATCTACCAGAATTGCCCACAATATGTTCTCTGTAAAATAATACTTTTTTTAATAAAAGAAAAAAATCATAGGGGCTATTAGTTGGTGTAATGGTAAAACCTCAGGGTGGCATGCATGGGATCATGGGATCCAGTCTAAGAAAAAAATGCCAAAGGTTAGGACTGTACCCAATCTACCCCTCTCAATACCCCAGATGGTTTGTACCAACATTGGTAATGACCTTTTTTCAAATAAAATAAGATTTCATAGAATAAAAATAGAAAAAGGAGAAACAGGAGACAGGTGAAACTAATATGAAAATTAAAGTCAAGTTGATATAAAGATCTAACAACAATTTGCTTTTCATAAAAATCATTCCCACATCCCAAAATGAGTCCCTTAACTAGAAACTGGAAATGCTGGTTTTCATGCAAGATTGAATGAAAAGTATTTGGCACTTGCTATATGCTTAAAGATCAAAGACATAAACCAATAACCAAGGGAAAAGAAATGCACAAAAAAATGATATCAGAAAGAGGCCGATGCTTAAGAAGCATTGTAGGTGATAGTAAAATCATATTCTGATATTACATCTGAAGATGAGTAGTATATCAATTATCATGTGCATAAAAAATGATACAAAAATCAGACAGAATCTTTCTTATTTTCCCATCATGATAAGCAATCAGAGTGACAGTGACAAAAAAGTAAGAAGCTTTACTTAGGTGGATATGAACATGGTAACCCCGCCTCAAGTAAGGGCCCCTAATGTGTTTACTACCTAGTTGGTAAGGACAGTAACTGCCAAGGAGAGCATCGAAGTTCTAAGGTACAATTAACCATCAATGACTCCAAAAATTTATGCATGTTGTCAATAAGAGCTGAAGCTAGAAAAGTATTTAAAAGGATTTCCCTTTAACTGAGAATTAATTATAGATCATATCCTTGCTTTGGAGAAAATATCAAAAGCACAAGAATCAACACTGCACAAACCTCTAAGAAAGTGATTTTTAGCTGATTGGTTGGGCGAGTAACAACACTCAAAACTTCTGACCTGTGGATCAATCAATAAAACAAAGAGTTGCAAGAAGAAAATACTGAACAAGGTTTGGATACTACCTACTAAAATTGTAAAAGTAGAAGTAAATACAAGATAAATATGGAAATAAGGAGCAAATTGGGGACTATTTCCATAAAAAAAGTTACAGTTATTGATACTGATGTCGGATGTGAATAACCACTGCATATACAACAGGAACACAATGTGGGATGACATACCCATCAGGAGATGCAAAACGTGCTCCAAAAGTTTTGGGTTTGGCCTTATCTCCATACAGTGATAACCCAGCACTGAAATCCTACAGCAGTGAACCACAGCTAATCAAAAAAAAAAAAAATTCAGTATCTGTTAAATTAAAGCTTTTATGTACCTGACCACAAGAAGGATGGGTGGATAGGTTTGCACATAAATCACCATTCTTTCCCGTGAAGATTGTTTCATCACATAATGATCATCTCAAGGGGTATATTAGGTACTAGAACCCAAAAGGAAATAGTGAACAGCCCCCCAATTAATGTATTCATGAAAAAGAAGTTTTGATATCCAAATCTTAAACTAAAGGAAAGAATAACAAAAGGAAAAGTAAAGAATAGGTGAGAACTTGCACATCTAGTCATCTAGTCATCTAGTCAGCATTATATGCTATAAAGATACAAGTGCCAGTGTGCCATAATGAATCCAATAGTGAGGGTCATTCATGTTGAGCATCTTGTAATCGACAGTGGGAATCGTTAAGTTGTTCATATTTATAAGAACAGAGATGCCTTATCTCTGGTTGTATGACAATACCACATGCTGTTTATTATAGGGCCACTACCCAATGTTGTTTCTGGCTATGGGTGTGATGGACTCGATATTAACCTAAATTGAGATTTTTTGCATAAAGTGGCCACACATTATTTATCATGGAATCCCAAAAACAACAGCTAGCAGTTAAGATGGTATTATATAGGCCTACCCTGGGTTTATGAGGGATCTTGCCTTACTATATTGTGGATACAAATCAAGCAAAGATATGCTTAAGATCATTGAAGAGATGTAACTACTAGCAGACAACCGCAGAGCAGATTCTCTACTAAGATCTATTTGATATGCCTCAAGAAGCAATAGTCACAGTTCTAGTTTTCACCAATTTATGCCAACTGTGCTTTGAGATATAAAATTTAGCTTCTACCTCCTAAATAGTCCTAATCTTACCTCTCTCCCAAGTGATGTTAAATATCTCTTGGAAGCGGAATTTTAATAACTTCCACTAAAATCGGCTTATTGCATTTAAACGTTACATTTTGAAGCGAAATCAATAATGATTCAACTATTCTTTCCGATAAAAGTCATTTAAGGCTATGTTTGGTTTGAAGGAAAAGGTAGGGAAACCCTTACAAGGTTTGTAAAGGTTTCCCTGCATTTCCTTTCTTTTCCCTACTTTTTCCTTCAAACCAAACGCAGCCTAAAGTTAAGCCATAGAAACATGTAGAATTAGGGAAATAAGATGCTCTAGCTAAGGAGAATGTGACTAACAAGTTACGCAAAACCTCTTTTCTCTGAGATGTACTAAGAAAAAGAAAATAGCAGTAGGGATAAATTCCGGCGAGCAAATTATTGCAAATTCACTACAGAAGGCCACTAAATTATTGCAGCTATTATGACTATCCATTCTGAAAGAACTCAACACCAAAGACATTAAAAATTATGTATATAGTATATACCTCAGGTTCCATGATGTCTTCGAACTCAGGCGGAACTCGAATAGAGAATCCATCACCGAAGAATTGAAACCACGATTTCGTGTTCAAAATGCCAGAAAGAATCGACTTCTTCGGAGCCACGGTGTCAGCAGAAGCTACGGAATCCTTGTGAAAGAGTCTTAGGGCTTCGGTTACGGACACAATGGAGATGGCAGCAGTCTTGAGAACGAACTCTCTCTTGGAGGTGTTGCAGATACTGAATCTGGACAGGAGCTTCCATTTGGGATTCGGTACCTTCGGATTAGGGTTAGGATATTGTGGAGGTTTCGTGGGATGCGAAGAGAGGGGCAGAAGGATGGCCATCGGAGAGTCTTGACAACATCCATGGCGGACAAACGGACTAGATAACGTCGAACGGGATAATAGAGATCATATACAGATTATGGGAACACCGCAACAAAGGGGTAGTTGGAGTAAATTCCTTAAAGTTAATGGGCATTTATTTAAGCGTAATGGACTTCAGAAATTGCCAGAAGCCCAGAATCATAAATATCATTCTGCATGTTTGCCACGTGGCTAGTATATGCTTATCTGGCAATTAACCCACAGATTTGAAGGGTGTTTCGATCTTTAGAAAATTCGTGGACAACCTGAGTCACCTGACCTCCTGGCTTCGACAAACTGAAAAGACCTAATTACCCTTATCTTATTTTCATGGATATTAGACGTTAGTGGAAACGTTTGTCTTATCCTTATTCGAACTCGACCACCCATTCATTCACCCAACGCAAATCCAGACCATCAAAATGAGAACGATAGAAAGAGAGAGAGAAAGGGAGAGAGAGAAGGGAGCACTCTCTGCTCAATTCCATTTCCTACCATTTCTCTCTGTTATTCTCTTCCATGGAAACCATCTTCTCTCCTCACTCTTTCTGTCCTCTCTTTGGCGCAAAATCTTACTCCTCAAAGATCCTTCTGTCTGCCTCTCTTCAACCCAGATCAAATTCTGTCTACTTCAAACCCATCAATTCAAGTCTCAAGAAACCATCTCCTTCATCAGTAGCTACCCCACTTTCAATCCCCAGAAGCTGGGTCTCCCATGTCCACCAAGGATTAGCAGCTTTAGCACTCACTCTTGCTATCAATTTTTGCCCGATTTCGCCCAGTGGTTCAGCAATTGCATCAGAATTCGATGTCCTCAGTGAGGGCCCACCGACGGAATCATATGTTGTAGACGATGCGGGTGTCCTTAGCCGTGTGACAAGATCTGATTTGAAACAGTTACTTTCGGATTTGGAATCCAGAAAGAACTTTCACATAAATTTTATCACAGTTCGCAAGCTTACTGTAAGTTGGGAGTCAATCTATCTTTAGTACATTGTAGTTCGGGTTCTTTTAGGGAACTCGTTTGGTGATTTAAGGATGTGGGTTTCTCTGCTCTTTGAATTTTTCAAACATGATGGGAGAAAAGCATTTTATATTGAAGTTTCTTGTGATTTTGTTTTGTATGCTTAGAATCTATGGGACTGTAAGATTCTGGGTTTCTTAGTTTCTGGTTTGAAATGCCAAATATTATGACAGAGCAAAGCTGATGCTTTCGAGTATGCTGACCAAGTTCTGGAGCGTTGGTATCCCACCATTGAAGAAGGCAACAACAAAGGGATTGTAGTGCTTGTTACTAGTCAGAAAGAAGGGGCGATCACAGGTGGGCCTGCATTCATCAAGGCTGTTGGTGACACTGTTCTTGATGCAACCGTATCAGAAAATCTTCCCGGTAAGCAAGATCATTGTTTTGGTTCTGCAATAAGGCTTGCATTACACATCCATGCATTGTCTCATAAAGAGCACACTCGGATCACACATTTTTACATCTTCCGAGAATTCAGTTTATGGGTCTGAATCCTTAAATCCTTAAATCCTTAAAACCCTTAACTTCTGAGAATTCAGTGAAGTTTCTTGTAACTTTTACTCTCAGAGATGAAAATAGACTGGATGTTTCACCAAACTGATAATCTCTGAACTACAATAACCATTATTATATGGAGGCCAATAAAAATATGTTGAAGCTCAATGGAGGAATACTATTAGATAAATGTTTCTTTTTCTCTCTCTTATTTGAGATTTGCATGCTTACTTGTTATTGAGGTCAATTTGTTCCCTGATTTGCCTAGATTTCCTTTTTCCTTTTTTTCCTTCCATGCTGATAAAGAACATTTTCTCTCCTTAATGGCAATCATGATAGCCAAGGGCTTTTTGGTTCAGATCTTTTGAAGATTTATATTATGAATTTTGCTAGCAAGAACACATGGTACTTTTTTAGAATTGGATTTCAGCACTTCCAAGTAAAAGGCACACTTTTCCTTGTTAAGACTTACCTTTAAACTCACTAATCTTCATCTGGAATTTCTTATATTTATCATATATTATTCAACAATAGCTAGAAATATAAATTTTGTTTTAGAAGATAACTGATGGGTGATTGAATTACTGTATCATGTTTGTAGTCTTGGCTACGGATGAAAAGTACAATGAAGCTGTGTATAGCACAGCCAAACGGCTTGTTGCTTCCATTGATGGGCTCCCAGATCCTGGAGGGCCCAAGTTCAATGAGAACAAGAGAGAATCGAACTTCAAGACCAAGGAAGAGACAGAGGAGAAACGTGGACAGTTCAGTCTTGTTGTTGGAGGTTTGTTGGTGATTGCCTTTGTTGTTCCTATGGCACAATACTATGCTTATGTCTCCAAAAAGTAAGTTTGATGTGTACAAGAGCTAGTTGTACAAATTCTTGTGTAGAGTGACCAATTGACTTGAAGTTGCCCACTAGAGGATAATAATAGTTTTTTGCATTATCTATATAAATAAATGTTATTCTAAAATTACTCTGTTTAGTCAGGTTCAGACTGATATATATTTGGAATGATGTCCAAGAGAGTAGATAATCATTGCAAAATGTTATTCCCATGAGCATTGTCATACCCATAAAAAATATCGTAAAAGTAATAATGGTATCCAAGGATCTATCTAGCAAACTAAACATGGCCCTTTGACAGACTGAACCTCACTGTGTACCTTATTTTATAAAATTAGTCATATGTAGAAAAGAATTTCCACTACATGATTTTACTATATGTCAATGACTTCCGATAATGAAGTATGAGATTCCATCGCTGAATTTCTAGCCCTAATTTACTGATAACATAATTTGTATATATTATATTGATTAAAAAGAAAAATGTGAATTTATTACAGCAGAAAAGAATAAGTTGGCTCCTTAGAACTTGAGCTTGAGAAGGAACGGCATTTTGTCTGAGAAAGGTGGGTCAGAATATTTTCCAGTCAGTATTTGAGATGAGACATATTGATTTGCAGCTTCAGTATAGTGGATTCCGTCCCAGTTTACATATTCAGTTGTATCATTGCACCCTTTGGCTGTAACTGAGCTCCCATTCAGAGTCTTGGTCTGGCCACATGAGATCCGAATGTCATAGTTTAATGGTGCACCTCCATACCCACAGCAAGTCATTATGGGTTGTTCAAACCCTGAAAATTTTCAATCTTGAAAGATTAATTACCTTTATTATGAATTATAACAAGAACAAATAAACTGAAATTAATCATCTCTAGAACACTTACTTTGGAACTAATACAATATTTCTATTGTTACTTATAAAAAGAATAATTGTCTTTGGAACTTAATCCATTATCTCTTTTACCTATGCCTTCACATTATCAATATTCTAGTGATACCTTCCAATATTTTCATGAGAACAGTAGAGAATCAATTTCCTTGTAGAAACCAAATATCTAGCAGGAAATTGTATGGATTATCTAAGAAAAACATTCCTAGACTTTAATTTCATGGTACAGAGTGAGGATCATTTCTTAAACAGATCAAAAAGCCATTTGAACATTCACGCAAGCATTCAATCGTCTTCCTAACAGAGAAATCAAGTGCCATATATCTATTTGTGTGTGTGATGCACAGATTTGTTGGTTCAGGTATCAAGGTGTAATAAATGATATCACTACTTACCGTATCGAGAATAGTTTGCTATTAGGTTGACCTTTATTGAAAAAACATCGACATAAGTAATGTTTGCATCAATAAATTGGCCCTGTAATTTTCTGCAAAGAGCATGTAGCTGTAAATTGAAAAGTTTAGCAGCACGATTATGTGAGCTGACACATCCTAGTTCATCAAGCTTAGATGGATCTTTTCCAAATGTGGCAATGTTCTGAGGTAAGCATCCTAAAGGACCAGTATTGTGAACCCAAAACCTCCTTGCCCCTTGGTCATATAACCTCTGTAAGAAAAACAAGAGAGAAGAACACGTTAAGAAATTTACTCTCAATTACTTGGGCATGTAATAACATTATGGAAAACAATGAGGATAAAAATTTATTTGAGACAAAGAAATGGCTAAAACCTTATCTTATTCTTTTTCAGGAAAAGAAAAACTAAAAAGGATAAGGTAGAAAAAATGCTTTAATACTTTAATGTATTAAGGAAGAATTTCACCTAACCTTAATTCCAGCTTCAAACTCCAACAAGATGGTTGGAATTGAAGCAATAACTTGGTCCTCTGTTTTAGAATAAAATGCACCAGCAAGATCGTTTTGGCCTATGTCAAACATGTAAAGGCTCTGGTTGAAATAACCTTCCAGGGGGAGGTATTTATTTGGTTTCTTGCCTACAAAAAATTGAAAATTATTGGTGTCAGCCAAATTTCATAATTATAACAAAACCAAAGGGCAACGAAGTTGGTGTATAGATGTGTGAGATGAGTAGAAATGATCAGTCCGTTTGTTTTGCATGTGGTTTGCTTATGACTACTTATTGGCTAACAAATTAATTCAGTAATTAAATATATCACAATAAAGAAATGAAGAATGATGTTTTAAATTTGCAGAAGGTTGTACTGCATACAACATCCAGGTATAGTGAGTAAAGTATAGAAAATTTACAATTCAAAGTCAGTGCAAGCACATTGTTGATCAACACTCATAAAACTTAAAAAGGAAAAGGAACAAGTAAATGAACCATACTTTTAGACAGCAATTCAAGAACACGAGCTTTGAATCGGAAAAACTGAGCAACCTGAATCCCAAATGAAAATGGGCTGACAGATGATGCAGTTGCTGGGAGTATAGTAGAGCCTGCAGCTGCAAAATTACAACCCTTCTGGAAAGTTGGTGTGCCAACAGAGTCCAAGTAGGCATTTAGAAATGGCAGGTCCATTGCATCCACTACATCAAAATACAGGAAAATAAGAAACAGGTAAGGTGGATTGACTTATTTATTTATTTGCATGGTCAGGGGTAATTCTAAAGTTGTAATGGCCATTCATTGCTTTTGAGAAAAACTCTTAATGTCTCATGGAAATGTAATCATTTCTAAGAGGAGAATGTAATTCAATGTATAAGATCATGAATATATCAAGTACTATGGATGAAACAAGATTATATTCTAATAGACAGAGTAATATTACAACATTATTTTCATAGTTCATTGTTTGCAAAAAAGTACTCACATTGCATTAACAAATACTAAAATTACTTAAATGTGTTCTTACCATAATAAAATAAAGGTTTCTTAATTGGCTAAAAATATAAACACCCTGAGAAGAAGATAAGATTGGATAAAAAACTTTGTTTGCGGACTGGTTAAACTATTTCCTACTTATGTGAATTATCATATTAATAGAGAGAGAGAGAGAGAGAACTCAGAGAAGTTCAGGACTAGCATATGCTTCATTAAATTACTGGTCCTATCTGCCTTCCAATTTCCTTGTCTATCAAATATATCTCTTGATTGGATGGTGGTTTCAGAGTTAGTTTCTGGGTTGCAGGCAATACAAAGAGTTGAATTGCCAACAGTGGTGAACAATCCAGAACTGTTGATCCAGGATTCCAACTTGTAAATAATAGATGCATGACTGATGACTCTATGAGCCCCCATGGAGTCTGTTCTCTGTTGCTTCATACTTAAAACAAACTATAATACAAAATCCCCCATTTAGTTTCAGAGAACTTACTCAGGAAATCAATGATCAGGCGGCCATCACAGAACCGCCCAGATGGCTTGTGGAAATAGGTCTGTCCATTAGGTGGGTCAAGACTTTCACCGATCCCTGCAGCAACAAGACCACCCGTGTCGGAATTCGAATCTCCAAAGTTGAACACTGCCGGATAACTGAAATCAATCGTCTCTGCCAGGGGTGAAGAAAACAGGAAAATTAAGGTGAGAAACGAGAGAGAGGGAATATTCAGAACCATGTCTACCGCAATGGAACTGTGTTACATCCAAGCTGTTTGTATGTTAACCAACTACCAAAGTACCAATCACTACGAAAAAAGTTTGAAAGTTGGTGGAATATGTTTGTCGTACAAGTGACCCCTAAACCAGCTTACACGTGTTTATTTCAGAATACCATACTTGCCCCTACCCGGTATTAACTTACCATATTTGCCCTTACCTGAAATTGTGCCGACTAAAGAATTTAGTCTAAGTTTGGGAGTGATTAAACCAACAGACACTTATTTTAGGCTGAAATCACATCAATAAGTACTAATTTGCATTTGGGAAATAAGTGCTTATTTCCTTCTTGTCATTTTCAAAATACATGTACTATCTGAAATAAGTGCTTTTTTACTAAACACTTGTGAGCGTTTATTAGAATAAATACATATTATATAAGTATTTATTTTTGAAATAAGCATTCTCAAACTCTGCCTTAGATTAGTGACCAAAATGTATATGAACAATAAACTTGATTACTTAATTATAATTATTGTCTTAACATTGAAGGGCATTTTCGATATTATGCAAAAGCAAATGGTCTGAAAATAAGTTGGATCACATCCATATAATGAAAACTTGAAAGCAAAGGATTGAGTTTTCCTTCAGCAGATTGCAAAGCCATCCTGGCCACCCAAAGTGGCAAAGTGCTGTACTGTTGTTAGTGATAGTGAGCCAAGATCGTCCCTCGGCGGGACTTGAGATAGCGTCTAGTGGGAGTCCTCTCTCTTTCTCGTATTGCTTTTTTTCTCTATATTTGGTGAATGGTGATATAGGGGTGCAGGCCCAACCCTAAAATTTGGATTTAAGGTTTGAGTCTAAGGTCAAGTCTGACTTTTCAACCTGCATCTAGCCTGCATTATAGTTTAATGTACTCGGATTGAGCTTGGGACTGGGCCGAGCTCAGGTTGGTCAATGAACCCATTCTAAAATTATACATGTATGTATATTTTTTATGTAAATATGTATACATATATGTGTGTATATATGTAAATATGTATACAAATATATATGTATATACATAAATATGTATATATTTATGTATATATGTATGTTTATAATCAAGCCAAGTTTGGGCTACCTAAGGGCTAGGCCCAGCCCGAAAAATAAAAAAGTCTAAATTCTTAGGCCTGAGCCCAACTTGAGGATCGAAAAATCAAGCCCAACCCATGTAAAATTTCAGGTTGGACCCGCCCAAGTTGCATCCCTACACCCGAATCACCGTAGAGGTTGTTTGAATAGTACAGCACCACACTATTAAAACCCCATCCTCAATTTTGGTAATAAGGGGATTCAAATCCCTGTTTCTACTGAAACAAACCAGCTAACATACTAAGGCAGTGTTTGGAACTGCTTAAATCTCGTGGACAGGACCGTTCAAGATTTGGTCGCATTTGGCTGGGTGTGGATGGGACCGGTCCTATCCACACCCCAATATAGCGTGGACAAGTCCCGTCCACACCCCAATTTCTCATCCACGGTAAAATCTCGTGGTTGGGGACCATCCACACTTGATTTTTGATCCCTACTTCACACTTTCCCTGAAAAGCTACCCTATTGTCTGTTTCACATTTTAATATTTTTGTCAATAAAATATTAATTATTTTACTTAATTTTTTAAAATTTTAATGTTTTATCAATAAAATTATATTTAAATTATATTTTTAAACTTTTAATTATTTTATTATTGTTTTTATAAAAAAATAATATCTATTGGTTAATATTAATTCATTGATGCATTTTTTAATATATTTATCATATAAAATTCAAAAATTAGATATTTATGATTAATTATGTAGATCAAGGTTTTCGAACCGTCGTTGATCCAGACGGGCATACCGTTTAGCTCAGGAACTGTCCAGGCAAGCGGTTCCATTTTACCCCAAACACGGTTTTTGGCTAAAAATCGTTGAAAAAGTCAACAACCCGTTAACCCGAGCGGTCAAACCATCAACCTGTTCAGCATTTTTTTACCCTTTTTATTTTTAATTATTTTTTTATTTTTTTAATTTGTTTGTCAAAACGGGCCATCCGTTCGAATCAAATGGTCGGACCGTTGACCCAGAAACTGGTGGCCAGAATGGTTCCATCTCCAGGTCATTTTTTTAAATGTTGGTGTAGATCATTCATAAAATGTACACGAGATACATGGAATCAAAATAGTGTAGTCCAGTCTACACCACACTACAGAACGCCACTATGGGTGTAGATTGGTCCAGTCCACACAATTTGTCCACAGTTCAGAACAACTGTGGATTGTGGCGTGGTATGGATTGATCCCTGCCACAGGGTGTGGTGTGGAGCAGTCCACACCCACTAATTTCTCATCCACACTACAGAACACTCCCTAAGCCACCCCTCAGTTGGCTCAGTGTGAGTCTTTAGGAGTAATCATTTTTGCTAATCTTAATTTGGCCCGGGCTTATATTCCATAGAGTTGTCAATAGGTTGGGTCTACCCAATAAAACCGAATTGACTTATCAGTTATGGTTTCTGAGTATCGTGTCCCAATTATAATTGGGTCGAAAATGGTTTTTGTTGTTTTGAACTGATTAGATAAATCATAATATATAAAGGTTTCCTCATTTTCTTCTAATTTTTGCTTTATTGTCGGTGGTTATATAACATAATTTTGGTTTAAAACACTTGTTTAATCAATATATAAATAATTTACCATTTAGGCCCCATTCGTTTTTTGGTAAGTTGCTTACCCAGGTAAATGCAATTACCTAGGTAAGTTTTTCCTGGGAAACGCTTACCCAGGTAAATGTATTTACCCATGTTCTTTTATTTCTCAGGTAAATAAGGCAATGACCATTTTAGACATAGAATCCATTATTAAAAGGGGCATATTTGTCCCATTCAAGTGTTGGCAACTTTCCCACTATGTGGGAAAGTTATTTACCCACCTAGGAGATGAGTATCACTTCCCTGGGTAAGTGATATCCAGGAAAATAAACTTTCCATGATCACCACATTAATCTGAAAAATGAACATAAAATTCTTGGTCAATGGGAACCAAAATCCCATTGATCAACTTCCCCCTCTCCAAATCCAAAAAAGTACGCCCCCTTACTTCATCTTTTTCAAGTTATAGTATCAAAATTGCAATTTCAAGATATTATTATGTTTTAGGTAAACGTGAAGTATAATCGGGTTTTATTTCATTAATAATTGAATCAGAACTGATCCCTTCTGTCCTAAACCAAACCTGACCTGTGCTATAACCCTTGTAGTAGGTTCAAGCCCAGCACATGATCCTATTAAAACAAAAAAAGTATTGAACAGCAACAACAAAACACAGAAAAAGGGAACAACATCACAGACACCAAAAGCGAAAGAAAAACAACAAGTTACCAAGAGAAAACCAAAGCCCTTGCTAGATTGTGGGCTACCACATTTACTTCACGAAGGACCCAGTGGAAACGAATAGAGAGAGCCTCATTATTAAGCTTTTTAAAATATCATTTCTGATAAAAAAACGTCAGATCCTGGTGAAAGAACTTTTCTGGTTTTGAGAGAAGCTTGACCAACTGCAAACTATCAAGCTCCATATATCCAGATCTCTCAAACCTTTCCTGATTAACGCTTTTAAGGCTTCACGAAGTACGAGAGCTTCGGCAACTAAAGGGGAGGATGCTATAAAAGAAACCACAGCCCGCCCACCAACAGGAACCAGCATCGTTTCTTGCATGCAAGGAGTCCAAAAGAGGCTTTATTTGGAGACAAAAAACCACCATTCACGTTGATCTTCAAAGAGCCAATTCTCATGGTGGAATCTAGCAAAAAGAAAGACCGCCTTCAATTCTCTTCAGGATTCTGAAGAGCTTCCCAATCTTCATAGAATAAATCACTTTGTGAGGATTTAAATTTACTTTAAAAAAAATGAATTTATTCGATCTTTCTATAATTCCCACACAAAATGATTCTTTGTACAAAATCATCACGACGAAACTTTTTATTAGAGGTGTAAATCGGGTTGTGTCACTCATGGCCCGACATGATGACACATGGGCCGTGCTGGACCGGGGGTTTCAAGTCCATGGGCCGGCACAGCATAGTCCGTGGCCCACACGCCAGCATGGCCCAGTATGCGGTATGGCCTACAGGCCCGCCCGAAGAACTAGCCGTTGGGGATATTTCAGCTTTTTGGGTTTTTTTTTATAAAAATACCCCCAACAGCTATAAATGGCCATATAAGGGGTATTTATGTATTTTGGCTTTGGGGGGAGAAAAAACAAAAATGCCCCCCAATATCTAATTTGGGGGAGCATTTTGAGTAAAGTGATAAATGACTTTACAATGACCAAAATACCCTCCAACAACTAAAAAATAGTTAATTTTAGGGATTTTGGACAATTGAATTATTTTCAATTCCTACAAATAGCCATATCATCCACTATTCTCATCACGCCAATTCAACAACTCTCTCTCTCTCTTTCTCCAATTGGACCAATTCTCAAGTCTCACCTTTTTTCAAGTTTCAACAAGAAGAAGGCTTGCTAGTATCTCAATTTAACAATTTGGGAGGCTTGGAGGCTTCAACTGTTAAAATCAATTTGAGATTCTGAACTGGTAATTCGGGTGAATGCAATTAAATTAATTTTTATTTTTTTATAATTAAAAAAAGGTCAGATCCTCCTAAAACCAATTCCCCAGCATATTCAATGCCGATGATGCTCAGTCACAATATGATAGTACTAGCATTGATATGGATGCTACTCACATTGTCGGAGTTCCCACCGCTAGTATTGCTACTAGGGGAAGGAAAAAGAAGGGAACTAAATTGACTAACCCAGTTTGGAAATTATTTAAAATGAATAAGGTTAAGGGGAAGGGAAAAAAGGGTCATTTGCCAAAAATGTAGAAGTGACTTTACCTATTATAGCAAGGGTGGTACTGTCCACTTGGGTATACATTTGCTCACCCATGAGAAACAACAAGAAGGGAAAGAAAAATCCCAAACACAAATTTGGTGTGGGGGTTTTGGTTTTTTTAAATATTTACAAGAAAAAATGAGGTAAGAGTTGGCAAAATATATTGTACATGCCGAACAACCATTTTTATTAGCTATGGATAGTAAACTTTAAAAAATTTTACGTAATTCTGTAAATCTTCAATTTAAAAAAAAAAGTTTCTAAAAATACTATTAAAGCAGATGCTTTGAAAATTTTTTATTCATATAAACAAAATTTAATTTCTATTTTATCAAATCTGAATTCTAGAGTTGCAATTACTTTTGATATTTGGACCTCTAAATTTAATATAAGTTATATTTGTGTTACCGGTCATTTTATTGATGAAAACAAGCTTTTAAAAAAAAAGAATTTTAAGTTTTACTTGGCTTGAATGGCCACATACTGGCCTAATTATTGTTGTTAAGTATTTTAAATACTTTACATGCTTATGGAACTGACAATAAATTTTTTCTATTAGTTTTGATAATGCTAGTAATAATGATTCAAAAATAAATATTTTAAAATCTCAATTAAAATATGCTTAAATGAAAAATTATTTCACACTAGATATGCACGTCACATCTTAAATTTACGTATTCAAGATAATTTAAATATTATTTCTCATCGTATTTCTAAAATTAAAAATTGTATTATATATTAAAAGTTTTGGAGAAAAAAAAACAAGAATTTAAATATTTATGTCATAATTATTGTTTAAAGTATAAACATTTGTTGTCAGATGTTGAACATAGATGGTATTATACCTATTTTATGTTAGAAAGTTGTATTCCCTACAAACAAATTCTTACTAATTTTTATAATGCAAAAATGCCACATGATATTATACTTGAGGAAGATTGGGAAATGACAATTTGCACAAGAGAATTTTTACACAATTTTTATAATGCAACTAATGAATTTTTTTGGTGTTTATTACCCAACTAGTTGTCTTTTAGTTAATTAATTATTCATGATTAGTGAATATTTTTCAAAATAACAAAAAATTCCACAATTTACAAGAATTTGTTAAAGTAATGGAAAATAAATTTAAAAAATATTGGGAGAACATTTCTCCTCTTTATTGTTTAGTTACAATATTATATCTTAAGATTAGGAAAGATGGTTTAGATGTTTTACTTAAATCATAATGTGAAAATATGAATAATGAAATTGGAAATCAAGAAGAAAAAATTAATAGTTTATTTTGTGAAATGTATAGCTTATATGAATCTCAAATGGTAGGGCATAAAAAATCTACAACTTGTAAAGAAGCAACTCCCACATCTGAAACAACTAGTTCCAGTAGTGGGAAAAGTAGAGTTTGGCCTTTAATAAGTATGAGGCAGAAATTTGTTGTTGCCTCGTTAATAAGTTCATTTACTGAAATTAATTTTTATTTACAAGCAAATTATTCTATTTTAAGTTATTCCTTTGACTCGAAAGTGTTGAATAATTTTGATATTTTAGTCTGACGGAGTGGACATAAAAAAATTATTCAATCCTTGCCGCCATGGCACGTGATCTATTAACCCTTTTAGTGTCTACATTTCCATCGAAGTCTTATTTTAGTACAAGTACTAGGGTGCAAGATGTCAAGAGAAGTTGCATGAATGAAGAAAGTCTAGAAATATGCATATGCTTAAAAAATTGGCTGGATGTTGAGGATAGATTACAAGACAACGGAGGGCGTGACACTACACCTGATGATTCACATAAAGCAAATTATCAAAATCAAGATGGAGATGGAGGTGGAACTTGAATAAAAATGATGAAGAGTATTTATTTATACTCAATAATTTTGTAGCATTTTTTAAAATTATTGTAAATTTTGTTATTCAATTTTATTTAAATTATTTGTTATTTTTTCAACAATGTAATTTTTTATTTTCAATTTGTAATTGTATTATATTGTTTTTATATTTTATTCCATTTTGTTAAGTATTTTTTTACCATTATATTGTTCAAGTTTCAAATTTAAATGAAATGAAATTCCCATTTTTCCAATTTGTTGTCCATTGTGTATTTTGTTAAGTATTTTTCATTTATTTGTTATAATTTTTATTTTTTTTCAATTTTTTTCTAAAGGGAAGTTAAGTATTTTAATTTTACTTAGCAAAAAAATAAAAAATAAAAATAGTTTGACCTGGTTTAGCCCAGGTCCATAGCATGGCCTACAGTCCGCGGCCCAATCCCCCAATTTATCCCAAGAGAGGGAGGCACGGCTTGGCTCGGTCCGTATGCCAGCATAGCACAACTTGCTCTTTGCACGGGTCGTGCTAACATGGCACAATTTACACCTCTTCCATTTATATAGAAGCAAAGACTCTTTGTACAATACCACCACTAGTCAAGGAAGCATGTTTGGAAGGGCCACTTGCTCTTTGCACGGGTCGTGCTAATATGGCACAATTTACACCTCTTCCATTTATATAGAAGCAAAGACTCTTTGTACAATACCACCACTAGTCAAGGAAGCATGTTTGGAAGGGCCCTGCACTAAAACAAGTAAATCAAAGCCTTTGATTTGTTGTCATGGCCCCAACTTGTATCACATGAAGTAACTTCTTGGCGGGGCCGGTGCAGTAGATCCAAGGCCATGAAGCCCTATGATACAATAACTGAATCAAACCAAGAAAACCGAACCGCAAAATGCAGTTAACTGAACCTGTCAGTTTGGTTTTGCTTCAGAATTTTTGAAAAACCGAAGGATCGGTTCAGTTTTCGGTTAACCTATAAAAAACCGATGGTTAACCGAACCGACCGGTATATATATTTATATGTATATTTTATAWATATTTTTAATATATGTCACATATTTTCTATGTATTTTATATAAATATATATTCATTATATATAAATATATACTTATATTATATTTATAATGATCTATTTACAAATATATTATATATTTTTAAAATATTTATAACATATTATATATCATTTATTGTTTATAATATAATATTATACATATATTTATATAATATATATTATAAATATAAAAAACTGAAAAACCGAAGAATCGAACCGGTCAAAAACCAAAACCGGATGATTGGTTAACCAGTGGTACCGATTCGGTTTCGGTTTGGCAAAATGAAAAAAACAGGTACTACTGATTCGGTTTACAAAAAGGGGCCATGGTTCGGTTAACCGAACCGTGGACACCCCTAGTTGTAGAAAATGTGAACTCTAATTTTTTCGGTATTTAACACAATACACTAACTTTTCAACGTAGTGGAAATAGCAAGACTCTTCTGCGTCTCTGCTTGGACTACCCACCTAACATGCAACCTGAGTCATGATTTAGGCAGTGTTTGGCGTTGATGTCATTACTCCAGAAAACGGTGACACATCAGTGCCATGTTGGAAAAATCGATGCTCTAGAAAACAGTAACATATTTGAAACTATTTTTTCATAAAAAATGGTGCCCCAAACCACACATTAGAAATCGAGAAGGCGTAGTCTGGAGAAACGCCGAATTCGACATTTTCTCAAATTGGAGCTCGTTATTATCAATGGGGACATGATGTGGCAGTGACATGGCGCAACGAACAATAGGTACCAGTGCTGAAAATAAATATAAACAATAATACCAAACAGAAGATATTGTTGTTGCCCCAAAAAACGTCCTATCTGACAGCAACGTTTCCAAAAAAAAAAACACCATTTTTTTTACAAAACAATGTTTTCAACCCACACATATACGGCACCTTTGCATCTATGCCAAACACATACTTAGTTTGCAAGTGAACTCTATTTGGTTCAGTTGCTCTTAAATAATGTTAATAAGTTTTTAAAAGAAGTCGAAGAGAACACAGCCTTTCAATATGTTGGGCCCACCTCAGAAAACTAGAAATCACTCCACTTCAGCCCTCTCAAATGAATATTGATACACCCCAACACGCCGAAGAAATGTATCGATACTTTGAATCCGGTGCTTTTTTTATTTTCTTTTTTTATTTTACAATGACATTTTTATGTTATTTAATTATTAAACATATGAATCAGATACGGGATGTATCTCAATACTATAAACCTTGTACATGTGTCTAACTGAATGTTTACCATATCTTTTATTTTTGAATCCATCATGCACAAGATTTTTAATTTTTTTATTTTTGCATAATCGAATGTTTTATATTGTACTTTATTTCCATAGTCAACAATAATTAAATTGCATAGAACTTATACAGAGCTTACAACTACTCTTACATTACTCCGAGGATTCCCATGTGACAAAATACAAATTAGAATTCAGATGAAACGCTGGACGCTGCTCAAAGAACAGAAACAAGAAATACATAAATTGAGTTCCTAGAACTTTGATCTGAAAATGAATTGCATGCTATCTGAAAGAAGTGGATCAGAATATTTTCCGGTGAGTATTTGTGATGAAATGTGAAGATTTGCAGCCTCCGTGTAGTGGTTCCCATCCCAGTTTACATATTCTCTGGTATCGTTGCATGGTTTTGACGTGACTAATGTCCCATTTAAGCTCTTTGTTTGGCCACATGAGATCCGACTGTCGTAGTTCAAGGGTGGCCCTCCATACCCACAACAAGCTGTTATGAAGTGTGCAAATCCTGAAATTCATAATTTTTTGATGATTAGTAACTCTGATCCATCTGTTGTTTGCAGTGCAATTTTATTTGTACTAACATTAATATATAAATGTATGAGAGTGTAAACTAAGAAGAAGAGCATGGAGTCTGATTCAGATTTACTTCAGCTTTTATTTTGCTTTGCTTTAAGTTTTATTTTACTATATCCACAATGCAAATAAATAAAATAAAGTGAAGCCTGAAACTAAGGATTAAAATATTGATATAATATATTGTATCCGTGCAATCAGATATATTTGGATACATTGATATTGATACAAGAATTTTTTTTTATCTTTAAAATTTTAAAATACCATATGAAACCTTCTAACACATATAAAATTTAAAAAAAAAAAAACATCAAAGGGTATCAATCATACTGATATGCACTGATACCCATTTGAGGATATCTGATGTTTCAATATTTTAATCCTTTCCTGAAACAAGAATAAATCAGAATTTATAATCAAATCATTTGCACTTTGATCATATTTTTGCACCAATGCATAAGTGTGTTCATGGTTCCGTTCCTATTTTTGAAACCTAACTGGTATTATCAGTTTTTAGAAAATTAGTAACCGAAACCGATTAATTAACCAGTTGACCTGTTTAGTTAATTGTTGGTCCAGTTCATCATTTTTTGGTTTTTATATTTATAATATATTATAAAAAATATATAAATATATAAAAAACTAAAATGCATATAATATTATATTTTAAATAATAAATAATATACTATATATTATAAATATATATTTATATAATGTATATTTATTAATTTATAATATAATATATATACATAAAATGTATAAAAATATATGTATATCGGTTGGTTCAATTAACCGTCAATTTTCTATATTGATTAACTGAAACCAGGCTGATACCTTCAATTTTTTTAAAATACCAAACTGATTAATTCGATTAACCAAATTTTTAATTGATTCGATTTCAATCAGTTTTTCTTACTCACCCCTACCAATGCAAATAAAACTACACTACAGGGAATAAGAGCAACAGTTATTTGAAATACCATACTGAGAAGAATTTGAAATGAGGTTGAGTTTGATGGAGAAGACGTCCACGTAAGTGACATTCGCATCCAAGAACTGTGATTGCAGCTTTCTGCAAAGACCATGTAGTTGTAAATTGAAAAGCGTAGCAGCACGGTTGTGGGAACTCACACACCCAAGCTCATCAATCTTTGAAGAGTTATTTCCAAATGTGGCGATAATACGAGGCAAGCATCCAAGGGGGCCCGTATTGTGAATCCAAAACTGCCTTGCACCTTGTTCATATAGTTTCTGATGAAGAATTAAATTAGTAGAATCATAATAAAGTTTTATATATATATTTCAGATAAATTAAATGATAAAATAGAGAAAATTTGTAAAATAATTTGATAAAAATAACTAATTAATAATTATACAAAATTAAGTGTTAATTAAAAATAAATGATAAAAAATAACTAATAATGCAAACAAAAAGAAAAAATAATATCTAACGAACAGATTTTTGTTTTTCTTTTTTTTTTTTTTTTGAAACAGACCAACCAGTTTAACGTCAACTTGAAAATACTGATAAATATTATGGGTTATAAGAGGTGTTCACAAATGTATTTGAGAGAGGTGTGACCAAGTCGCCATTTCTAAGAACTAGCTAGGTAGCCTAAGAACCATGACAGTCCAACCGATTCCACCGAGATTGGATCTGTTCCTCACACAGCGTGCCTCACTCCGACCTCACAGCGTCCATCTGTCCCCATGAACTAAAAATTTATAAGTACAAGATGTTTCAGGTGCAGAGCAAAAATATGCTACAAGGTCAGTGTGAAGAGTATTTTGTGAGGAGTAGATCCAAACTCGATTCCACCCTATCTAAGAGGCAGTTTAATAACAGTTTAAATTGCTGAACTGAAAAGTTTATTATTTTGTCTTTTAGATTTAATTTGAAAAGAATACAAATACAAATATGTAAAAAATACAAGGTTTTACATTATATATATTTGTATTTACACTCTTTCGAAACTGAGCCTTAAGCCAAAGAGATTTTAACAAGGTTGGGGTTTTCTAAATTAATTCAGATTAACTGAATGCAATGGCTATATTCTGTCATTTCTGTGGGCCCATGAAACACATGAAACCCATAATACAAGGTTGAGATCTTCTAAATTAATTCAGATTAACTGAATGTCTGAATGCAATGGCTGTATTCTGTGGGCCCATGAAACCCATAATCATTCAACCTCTCCACACCAGTGATATAAAACACATGAAACCCATAATCATTCAACCTCTCATCCTGTGTTCATGTATTTTAATTTTATGACAAGTGTGTGGTGTTACCATTGGTTTTATAACCCGCTGAACAACTACTGTGGCCCTTATGTCATCTTTAATGCGTTTGAATATTTTATTATTTTTTTCAACTGTTATCTATCGAACAATAAGTCTAGCACCACTTGTTCAAATTTCAAAGAGTTCACAATATATCTAGCATTTAGGTGTCATTATCTTTCATTAAATCAAACCCTGCAGTTAATTTTGCTTATGACTTGCCTTAACTCCAGATTCGAATTCCTGCAAAATAGTTGGAATCAAAGCAAGTACTTGGTCCTCTGAAGTGGAATAAAATGCACCATCAAGATCGTTCTGCCCAATATCGAACATATAGAGCCCCTTCTTGAAATAATCTTCTGGGGGCAGGAATTTTTCTAATCCTTTACCTAAATGAGAGATAGAGAAAAATTAGATTTCAATGACCACCATTTTAGTATCAAATAGAAGCAAGTCAAAATTTTAATTTTCACACAGAAAGAGACCGAGCAATCCATAAGTTAAACTAAGGAACTGTTCAATTTAAAAACTTGAACCGTGTTAAATATCTGAATAGGTTTTTCTAACATGCCCCCTCACATGAAATTACATCCAATTAAGCAGTGATAAACTCAGACCCACCCATATTTTGTGCTGAAATTTAATTAATTATAATGATACAACAAGATTGAACACTGGTGAAATAATCCTTCTACCTAAAACCTTAAGCTGTTGAATGAGGTTCTTGAATAGGTTTTTATTCTCCAACACTTTAACTTTTAATTTGAGGTATTAAATAAGACTATAAGAGGAACAGAAATTTAGAGGAATTATTTTTCTTTTGAAACATTCTCCAATTCATCATAACCTTTACATTCATGGAATTCCAAAAATTCTTCAAATTTTTACAAAGATCAAAGTATACATCACTTGCCTTTTGCTAGCAACTCAAGAACCCGAGCCTTGAATCTGAGAAATTGAGCCACCTGGATACCAAAGGAGAACGGACTGGTTGAAGCTGCATTTGCCGGAAGTATGGTAGACCCTCCGGTTGCAAAATTACAGCCTGTTCCGAAATTTGGTGCACCAACCGAATCCAAGTATGCATTTAGAAGTGGTAGGTCCATTGCATCAACTGCAAAAGTAAAGCACCTCTCAAATAATCTGAGGTTTCAACGTAAGCTGATGAATCGAGTATCTGTGGATGAAGAAACTTACCGAGGAAATCAACAATCAAGCGGCCATCGCAGAACCTCCCAGAAGGCTTGAGGAAGTAGGTCTGGCCATTCGGAGAGTTGACAGGAAAAGCTATCGCTGCAGCTAGGCCACCGGTGTCGGAATTGGAGTCTCCGAAGTTGAAGACTGCAGGATAGCTGAAGTTGACTGTTTGGACGAGGGGATTGAACAGGGAAATTAGGGTTAGAATGTGGAGATATGAGATCATGAGAGCCATGGCTGAAGCCTGAAGGGAGCTTGTTTAGTCTGTGCAAACGATGAATGGAGCATTTGAGAGAATGTCTTAATTGGCGGGAACGCAAAGAGAGGGTTTGGTAAGAAATTGGCCTTTTCTCCCTTGCAAGTCTGGAAAGAAATTTGGGTTTGGGTAACGATTATGATCCGTTTTATCTCAATTCTCATTTTCTCACGCCCTGCCCAATGTTTTTCGGGTTTGGATCGACTAGGTCCAGGGGCAGGAGTTTAACCTGGTTTGAATTTAGCCCGGGTGCCTTTATCCCATATAGAGGGGTGACAATGACACTTCTAGCCCGATCCGTCCTAGACCAAAAAAATTTTGGGAGAATGACCCATACCCCAGTGTCAGAATTTGTAGGTTTAAAGTTCATTTGGGGTAGGTGCCAACTCGGAATTGATGCCAATTTATGGGTGGGCATGAGTGTATAGGGTGTGGTTTTTGAATGTTTTGAATGTTTATAGCTGTGCAGTGGGAATCGGATTTCTGCATTGGATGTATTTCCAAGCAACGAACAACCTAGGTTTTGCGGTGAAGCCCAGTCGAGGCCCATATCCTCACCAGGTCCAAAAATTGAGTCTAGATCTAGTCCTAATAATCATGGTTCAAAGTATTGATACATTTCTACATATCGGCAGAGGTGTATCGATACTTAGATACACACAAAATTAACTTTTTTTAAGATTTTTTTTTTCAAATTTTGGTTTTTGGGTAGTTAAAAAGGGTTTTTTTATTAACAGGTATTTTGGGACCCAAAAGATACGCTACGATACACCCAATACGAAGCGTATCGTATCGATATTTTGAATCTTGCTAACAACCGGTCCCAACAGCCATTGCAGTCATGTATTTGAGAACATCTCCCTTGTCTTTCATGGCGAGATGTTCCCAATGTATAGCTGCAATGGCCATTGGTAGAGCGGTAATCAAATCGGATTTGGATTGGATTAAGAAAAATGTGAATCCGACTTGATTATTGAAAGTTTGCATCCCAACTCCGATCGGATTTGAATACCTTATATTCAAATTCGAATACTCAAATGGGATTCAGATTTAACCCAACTCTGCTTTAATTTTTTAAAATACAAAATATTAAAAATTAATTACTTTTCCACTTTTATATATAATAAATTAATATAAATATAACATACTGAATTTATTATATATATATATATACATATATAAATTCATATGTAATATAATATATAAAATACACATTTTTATAATTTTAAATATAGTTATATAAAATTTATATATTATAATCAATAAATATTATAATATAAACGAATTCAGATTTTAGAGGGTGTTTGGTTCCGTTTACATTTATTCAGTAAAGGTTTATTGACAGTGCCACATAGGCACCACTTCAGCATTTTCCCTCTCTTACTCTTCTGCATGCATCGAAAATGAAAAAGTCAACCTTGGTTTTTGTGCATGTCAGTCGTTTGTGGAATTTATTTTTTAAAGCTTCCACAAACGGTTAGGCGTTTTTTCACTGTTACGCTGATGTGGAGCCTAGTGGCGCCTAGTGGTGCCTATTTGTCATAAACAGTTGTGATTATTGCATTTCTCGGTTTTACCAAGAAATAAAGTACAAATGTTTATTCAATAAATATAAATGGAACCAAACACATACTTAATCAAATCTAAACCCAACCCAATTTTTAATTGGATGCATACTACAAAATTCGAATGCGATTTGGTTACATAATACATCATTCAAATCCAAGATAATTGGATTGGATGTCATTTTAGGCCATTGATTTTCGGGTATTATTAATAAGCCTAGCCATTGGAACAAGTTGTTGAGACCCTATGTTGAAACTATATCCAAACTGCCAAATTTATAGGCTTGGCCTGCTACATACCCAAAGAAATTTAACCAATATATAGTGAATGGCCCTCCTCTCTTTTAAATATACTAGTGTAGGGGTAGGTGTTATGCACGTGTGCAAGTAGAGGGTAAGATATAAATTGATAAGATGTCATATTTGCTTATCACAAAAAAATTATTCCAACACGTTTCAACATGATCTGTGCTTACACATCACAATAGAGGTGAGCAAATGGGTAGATTCTACCTGGAATCGACTTTGAACAGGCCTTGAACCAACCTTACCCAATTTGTTATAGGGTAGGGTCTGGTTCCAAATCCTTGGAACCGACCCCTACCCAGACCGATTCCATGGTCTAGGGGTTTACCCTACCCAAACCAACTTGATGAACCAACCTTGGCTGGCCTTGGTGGAATTGATCTTTGTGGAACCTGCCTTGAAATAAACCTTAAAACTTTCGGGGATGTAATGATTTGAACCCAAGCAATCATGGTTAACAAAGGACACAATCTCATTTGACCATTAAGTTACTTAAGTTATTTGATCATTTATTTTCATTTTAATATTTGAATGTGTACACTAAGTAATGTAAGAGGTAATATTTACAAAACTTAAATTTAAATTATAAGTTTTGAACCATATAATGATAATCTACTTATTAAGCTATCCAATTTAACTAATAAAGATAATATGGGTTTTAAACAATATATTATATTTATTGAAAATCAAGTTTTTAAAGAACATGCTTCTTTTTTTGGGGGGAGGGGGAGCAAAGAAAGAACAGATTCCACAGGTCCGATCCTAGAACCAACCCCGGAACCACCAAGGCCAAAATCAACCCTCACAAGGTAGGTTCTAGTTCCACAAACTTGGAACCAACCCCTATAGGGTAAGTTCTAGGTTGTCATTAAACCAACCCATGCTCACCCCTACATCACAAATATGGTGGGTCTCAATCTCATGATGAGATGTACGGACACAAATTTTTTTTTTTTTTTGTGAGTGAATCCCAACTCACTTGTATTCTATACTTGTATTAAATTTTATGACCTATACCAAAACCAAGGCAAGCATCTACTTTATAATAATATAAATATGTTAAAAGACAAATACCACCCTTCTTTAACATCCAAATTACGATATGTTTTAGGGATTTTAATGTCATTTAACATTCTACTCTCAAAAGCAACTAAATAAATGAGAAGAAAGAAAGCATGATCGCTTTAACATCCAAATTATGATATCAAACAATCAAGGTTCAAAATATCGATACGCCCGATATGTCGGTAGGGGCGTATCGGGCGATATTGATACCTTTTTTTTTACTTTTTTTATTTTTTTAAGCCGGTTTAGGGGGCCCAATTTAGGGCTCCTCCACCCCCTGAACCAGTCAGACCCCCGATACACCCACTATAGGGGCGTATCGGGGAGGTCCCGGAATGATACTTATCGGTCGGTATGGGCCGATACGTGTTGATACTTTGAACCCTGCAACCAATCCCCACCATCCAATTTGAATGATGCCCTTGCAAGATCTTTTTATCAATTCTTGTTAAACATGGATGACCTCATTCTTTCAAGTAGTATGATTTTTAGGCTTTTCTTAATTATCATTCAAATTGGCTACATGATTCTATTTGGCCAATCAATTCTATTTAAAACCATATCCATTGTTAAATTATTAATATTTAAATCATTTATTACTACTTTTAAAAATTATTTAATCATCATCATCCATGCCAATCCTGTTTTGGTTACTACTTTGCAAATAGTGTTATATATATGAATTTGGATTAGCTGAACGCTTTAGTTGTTCATCAGGCTGTGGAACCAATGATAATGTTTCACGCCACTAACAAATTCATGGGTCCCACTCTAAAAGGTGTGGATCTCATACAACATATAAAGAGAATAAATAATAATATAGTTCCCAACTTCCAGTATCCAAACATAAACCATGTTCAAGTAGTGTTTTCAAAATTGGGTTGGCCGGTTAGACCAGAAAAATCAGGAACAATCACCTAACTGATTCCATTTCACCCCATAACTGTTTTTGGCCAAAAACTGTTGATTTGGTCAACAAAGCACTGATCCGAGTGGTCAAACCGTCAACCTGGATTGTTAATTAAGCCTTATGACCACACACTTTTTATTTTTTTGTCAAAGCAAATCGCCCGTTTGGACTAGGCAATCAGACCATTCAACCCGAGAACTGGACCCAAAATGGTTCCCTGTCCAATCCGGTTTTAAAAAACTTGTGTTCAAATATATAAGTTGGAAATAAGTATGATCATGTTATTTATAAGGAAGCTTCAATTATTTAGTTGTTTATTTTCTCATGGTTTTCCATTTCTATTATTTATTTATTAATTATAGAAGTGCGTGGTCACTGACTCATAAGGCTTATGCCACATGCATTATGGATTAAAACATGATGAGGGCAGATTTGGCCCTCTAGTGAAATTGCGACACGTGGCACCTCGTGACAACTAGGCAAGCCCCCAAGCAACAACTTACCAAGTTGGTCCCCCCCGAGCACCGGTCTGGCTGGCCTGGCGCGACCTGGCCGGATCAGCCTGCCACATGCGCCGACCTGGCAACCTGGCCCGGACACGGGCGCCGACCTGGCAATCTGGACCGGACACAGGCGCCGACCTGACAAACTGACCCGGACACAGGCGCCGACCTGACGACCTCACCCGGACACAGGCGCC